ATGAAGTGCAGGTGAGGCACCATGTCTCAAACATTTTTATTTCACATGCAAGAGCTTTTCAACACTGGCAGCCCAAAAAATACAGGTTAAGATTTTTAAGTGTTCAGTTCTTCCAGAGAGTTCTCATGTCATTCCAGCTCTGCTTAGTTCATCTGCCAAAATGCATCTCTGTGGGACCAATCACAGCATCTAAAAACCGGTTGACCAGAAAATCAGGAAGTCCTTTTTTAACCATTGGAGGAATATCATTTTTCTAAGTAAAAATAACTGCAATATTATGGTCAATGCCGATTACAACAAAATTCTTCATTTGCTCTCATTGATCAGGATTCTTAGCATCAACTTTTTAAAATGTTATTTTTATACCACCTGAAACTAATATATTCAGAACTATGGTTACATCAGACAAATCATGGCTCAGGGGAATATCACAAACACCTGTGTGTAAGATGGGAAAGAATGATATTTTCCACCCATGTGGCAAACTGATGAAATATTCATACTGTATTAATACTAAGCCCAACTGTAAGGAGAATGAAGGCAAATTCACACCAAAAAAGATATTTCGGAAAAGGGGTCATCTTTTACAGCAAAAGAAAATATCATGCATTAATTTACATTAACGCAAGTATTTGTCTTCTGGAAAAAAAAAAATGCAAAGCACATATATGGATGGACAGTATAATAAGTAACGGGTATTTTACCAATTCCACTATAAATGTCTGATTAACTGTTCACTGAGCTTAAAAAATGTAAAAAGTGCTAGCAATGAGTTTAGGTCATAGTGCATGAGGGGCTATTAGACATGCTCTTTCATTAGCGATTAACTCCCCACTGACACGTGCTCTGCTTTTCCTGAAGGGGTTGGCATGTGGTGACACGCAGGGAAAGTGAAAGCTGCTTTGGCAAATGGGGACCAAACCAAAGATATGTTGTAATAAGCTGCTTTTACAATGTAAGATCCCAGGATCCCAACTGGATTCACAAGTGGTGAAGCCTCACTAATCAACTTAATGTCACTGTTTAACTACTAAATATACAGGCCAAGGCAAAACGGAGGGTCTTACAGACCCAGTAACTATAAGGGGCCATTTACACTAATCTCACTGATTTTCACTGTTTGACTCTGAATTCTTTGTATAAGCACTAAGTAAACCAGTCAGTTTTAATCACTTCAAGGTGATAAAGGTTACAGTAAGCTGATACACTACAAACGACACTCGTTTACATCTTGAATATAATGAAATGATAGTTTATCTACAGTGAACACTTGTGGTTATCTGACAAAAACAGGTCAAAGGTTCCAGGCATTTTCTCCTGAAATTACTCAGTGCTGCCTCAAATGACTGATAATTGAAAGCAGAGGCTGGAAATATCAAATGTGGTAGGTGACAGATAAGCAACAGATTAATGCAAGTACTCTGTTACAGGACACTAAAAGGTCAGAGGCCCTAGGAATTAGCTATTGTGCTACTGTGAAAAGACAGACATCAAATAGCTGTTTACCTCATTCTTGCTCTTCTCTCCAACATTCAAATTCTAGAAACACATTCTGTCTTCCATGATTAGACTATTTAAACCGACTCACTTTTTACATAATAGGCAACAAATGTTTTGTAGGGCTTGTGTATAGCAGAAAAGATGTGATCCTAGAGCAGAATGATTTAAAAAAAAAAAAAACAAACCAGTTATGCCAAGTGTAAATATTTTAATGAAGTGCATCAGAGAGGAGTTAAGCAGCACATTCATCAGAACAACATTCTCAGTTAAGGAGACCGGATAACAGATTTTAAAAACTATATT